CACAGTAATGAAGTTATGAGGAGTATACCCAGGATTGATATTTATCTGAATTGATGGCATCTTGGCAGGAAGGCCAATATAAGATTGATGATTTACTGGGGGTGCCTGTAGAATATAAGAGTCTTGAATATATGTGAACCCAGATGGATACAATGGTGTCTCAACAGCTGTTTCCTCTCTTTTCCTGTATGTTTCAACAATTTTTTTTCCTTTAGTCAACTCTGCTAAAATCTATTTTAATTATGCCAACTATCTGTTCATATTTTGTTGCATTCCTGTAACTGTTTCACTGATATCTCCTTGGGCCTTTTCTACTCTATCTATTTGATTGGCATCTTCATTTTCCATGATTCTGGTACTGACTTGAGTGCTATAAGCATTCAGACTCAACTGACCTCATTTTTTAGAATAGCTATCCTTGAACCTGCAGCACTACCTACCATTTCGACATGGATCAAAAAAGGGTTTTTGTGAATAACTGGCTTCATCTTGGCATCAAAACTCAGATATCTAACTTTCATCAATCCCTGCATCTTATGTTTTAAAGCTGTGCAGTCTTTCAAAGAATGGCCCCTACAATACCAAAATGGTATTCACATTGGGCATTAAGGTTATACCATTTAGGAAAAGATAGTTTACGAGGTTCAGCAGGGATAGGGGCAATGAGGTAGTTTCCTAGAAGCAACAGGTATAACTCTGTGTAAGACATGAGTATTGGATCAATAAGGGCTTTTCCTTTAGTGTTACAAGAGTTTTTCTGTCCTATGGTTGGTTTGCTTTGCTGAAAATGTACTGGTATAGTTGGTCTCGAGGTGAATTGAAAAACTCTAGGTCGAAGATTAGATTCAAAAGGTAGTGATGGGATAACATGTTGAACAGACGATTGTGAAATATAAGATGGTGGATATGGGTTTAGGTGTGAAATTTTTGAAGGTTGCATGACACTTAAGGGCCTAATCCTAGGAATTTGGAAAGGAGGTTGAAAATGGTCATAAAAAAGATTTGGGTGCGAGTTTGGACTCGAGATAGTTTGTGAAGGTTGTTTGAAGCCAGCTGGCTCCTTATTGGAAATCAAACTCTTGAGTTCAGTCATTTACGTGGCTAGTTCACCCATTCCTCTCTTAAGTTCGCCTAAATTTTGATCACTATTCAAATCACCCAATGCTTTAGCATACTTTGGCAGAGTGTTGATACTAACGGGAGCCAATTAACCTTGACTTAACGGTAGTGACAACGGTCTTTGAGGAGGAACAAACTCAACTCCATCACTACCTCTAACCATTTCTATCAATTGAGCCACCTGTTGTTTCATCTCTCGAAGCTCAAGCCATAATTCCTCTTGATTCAACTCCAAAGTACTAATCCTTGCTTCCAATTGATCTTCCATTTTCGTCACTTTGAACCCCACCAAGACAAATATTTTATTCCAGAACTTAGACTAAAAATTCTAGACTATTACCCTTATTGAATGAATATCACAAAAACAAGACACACAAAGTATGTTTATGAATACATGAATATGAGAATGTCACGAAATGCATATATACTTATGACAATGAATTTTTATATGTACAAAGACCTAAATAAAAATTTTTGTCAACCATGAATGTGTATGCAAAAAAAAAAATGCAATGTTATGTTGCAAGAATGGTGGGATATGAAATGCAATGTATGTTCCATACAACACTATTATTCATGAATCTATATGCATGAAATGCAATGATGTATTTATGTGAATGATGAGATGTATTCCTATGACCAATGTAGCATACTTGTATGGAATGCATGAACCTATCAAGTGCTCATTATATTTTTATATGAAATGCAATGCTTGTGTTATGTCATCCTAATTAACTGACACTACCTTTAAACATGTAATGAGATGGAATGTGAGCACTATTTATTAAGATGCGTATGGTAGGCATGTATCATTTATCAACAAGTGTATAACACGGGATGCATGCACTATCCATTGATGTGGATGGGATGGAATGCTCATATTATCCTATTATAATGCGCATGAGATGAGATACATGTATGATGTATGAAATGCGAGGGATGAAATAAAATACCAAAAAAAATTTTATTTTAAGAAGGAAAAAAGAAAGAAATAAGACTTGAAAATTAGACTTTATTCGGCCAATAAACAAAGAATTAAAAAAAATCCTTAATCTTTGGAAATGTTCTGTTGTCTTTTTTTTCCTTTTTTTTTTTAATGATTGACCTAAAATAAATACCACATATTCAAATATAATGCACTCAATCAAAGAATATATAAAATAAAAAAATAAAATGACTCGAGAATTCAAAACAAACAAGTAAAAGAAATAATATAACAACCATACAACCAAATAATATAACGTATAATCTCTTAATTTTTGGTAATTTTCTAAAAAGGTGGCATGGCTCTATCCTAGGCAGGCTTCCTATAGCTCACGATATGCTGGGTTAGGATTTATGTCTAAAGATTCTCAGACTATTCCTCACATCATCGCCTATTATAGACTAGTGAGGTTTCCTAATCCTCACCCATTATGGGTTATTAATGGAAAGGGTTCAATCTGAGTGGAAGTGTTTTGCTAGCAAATGCGAAGGTTATCACCTCACGAGAGCGTAGCTACTTCACTTCCTCTTAAAAGTGATGGAGCCCGGGTATAGAGCTCATGCATGCGAGTGAATATGCAAAGTGTGTGTAAAGCAATGTATTAATCAAAATAACATGAATAAATCAAAAATAAAATCACATAATTTATTTTATTTATTAACATGAATGTTTTCAAAAAAAAAAAAATTAGATTAAATATCAAATAAAATCAATTAAATCCAACCATTGTCAATAGCGTATAATTAAAATTTTGGCCTAACTCTCAAACTAGTCCCTAGCGGAGTCGCCAAGCTGTCGTAACGGTTTTGAGACTGTCAGACATAAAAAATGAGGTTTAAAATCGAGGAAAATAAAAAAGGAGTGAGTCGCCACCAATCTTTGTTAGGGTGTGATTAGCCACCCAAAAGCTTATCCTTTTAATAAAACTATAACAACGGATTTAAAGTTTATCAAAAAGATAAATTTTGATCTACGAAAAATCAGGTTAGGTCCGGGAGTTGGTTACGCGTGGGGAAGGATTAGCACCCCCACAATGCCCATAAATTGGTACTATTTAATTACGTGTTATTTTCGGTGTTGGATAAAAATGGTTTTAATTTAAAATTTAACACTAATTCCCTTCATTTGAAAAAAAATAAAATTTTGATAAAATATTTATTTAGAACTATTGAGAAAATCTTTAAGTTAAAGAATTATTTTAAAATTCTTTATCATCTAGGCAGAATTTAAAATAACTCTTTTCGCCTAAGATTTAACACAATAATCTTTAAAATGAAATAACAATCTTTATAGAAAATAATTATTAGTGACTCTCCAACATCTAGGCAGAGTACCAAGAATTATTTCTTTCGAAATGTTATTTTTAATTTATTTTATAATATCACAAAAATGTTTTTTTTAAAGTATTATTCTTTTTTTTACTATAAAATATTTTATCATCGAACAACAAATTAAAGAGAGAAAAATGCAATCAATTATCGATGATAACATGCTAACGTATGTATGCTAATGAATGTCATTTATAATGAAATGCAATTTAAGAGTTGGATTCTTAAGTATAATGAGACCACCCCGACTCTCCAACATCTAGGCAAAGCTTAGGTGCGACTGTTTATATTTAAGATCCCAATTTTATTATACCTTTATTTATTAATCCTATTATTAATGTAAATTAAGAAATCGTGTGAAAAGACTTAACGAAGTAAAATTTCCTAAATACCCCATCATCTAGGCGGTATTCGAAAATAAATTGCTTCAAATAGAATTTTCACACGTGTCCTTAGAATTTTTAGGAGTTTGGATTTTAAAGGGTTTGAGTAGAGGTTTTGAAAGTTTGGTTATAAGGCTTAGAGGGTTTTAAAGCTTGAATTTTAGGATATGGAAGGTTTAAGATTTTGGTTTTAGAGTTTGGAGATTTTATGGTTTGGATTTTGAGGTTTGGGGTTTTGATTTAAGGGTTTGGATTTTATAGGGGGTTTGGATTTAAGGGATTTTGGATTTTTAGGGGGTTTGGATTTTTAGATGTTTTAAAAACTTAGGATTTTGAAAATTAAAAATTGGTGTTTAACGTTTAGGTAAAACGCGAACATCTCTAAAAATCCTCATCATCTAGGCGGACTTTCGGAGCAGGTTCAATTTTTTATAATTTTTAAAAACTAATTAAAAATTTCTTATGTTTTTTTTTTTATGAAAATTTATAATAATTCCCCAACATCTAGGTGAAATTATTTTTTAGAAAAATATTTTTTATTCCCTCAACGTCTAGGCAGGAAAAATATAATAATAATTAGCACTTCTTTGAGTATTTTTAATACATATTTTTAGTTATTACTTGTTTTTAATTTTATTATTATTAAAACAATTAAACATTTATTCTAACAACTTTAAAAATTTATCATGCATAAATAAAAATATACTTAAAATAACAAAAATAATAATATAAAAAAATTCAAAAAAAAAAATTTTTACCTGATCGGTCCGGTCAACGATTGGTTCGAATGGATCGAAAAAGGTCGGTTCGGCTCGTGGTTCAGTAGAACCGACTGAGGAGCGGTTCAGTCCGGTTTGATTGAACCGGTTCAGAGCTATTTGAGGAACCGGGTCAACGGGTCGTTGCGCGGATCCTAGGTCGGGTCACTGGCACTAAGGTTCCTCCCTACGGGAGGACTGTTTGACTTTTTTTTTTGTTTCTATTTTTGTGTTTCTGTTTTCGTGGTTGGTGTGGGTTGAAAGATTTTCTTTGGTGTGTCTGGGTGTCCGAGAGGGTATCGTAGGCAGTGTGTCTGGAAGTGAAGAACTGTCCGAAAGATTTCGAGAAGGGATCTCCAAGAGAGAGGTTGAAGGGGGTTCGAGAGAGCTTTTTTTTTTTTTAGAAGGGGTTCAGATCTGTATTTGAATGGTTTCAAAAGGGGATCTAGGTGGTTGTAGGGTGGCTGTAGGCTGGTAAGTGTGGGGGCTGGTCAGAGGGCTGTAGGGTGGCTGGTCGGGGGCAGCAGCAAGCCAGCCACCCTACTTTTTTTTTTTTCTCTTTTTTTGTTTTTTTGTGTTTTTTTATATAATTAATAATTATTATTTTATTTTAAATTATTATTATTATTATTAAAATTAAAATAGTAGACCGGACAAAATCGGTGTTTATACCATGCAATTGAAGTTGGTGGCTACAACTGGTGAGATTTACTTTTTTTGAGAAATGTTTTACCTACTAAAGAATGTGGGATTTAATCACAATGGTTTGCCTTTTTTTAGGAGATTAACTTTTTGTAAGATTGAGATTTAATTCGAATGATCTTACAATGTTTGCGACCATCTTCACTTTTTTATACTAAAAAAAATCTAATTTAAAAATAAAAAATAGGGAAGATGGGCAAATTTCTTAGAATGCTTGAATAAGAGCTACTAATGGAAGAACTAGTTATGTTTTACTCATGATTTGTTTCAAAGCTCTTTCATTTTCCTCTTACATTCTTTGGCAATCTGCAGGAGGTTGTCACTCTACCCAAATGGAAACAAGAAAAGCAATGGCTTTGGCTTCATCTCCCTTTACTTACAAATTGAAGAGACAGAAAATCTTCCCCGCACTTGGGAAGTAAATGCCAACTTTAGGTTCTTGATCAAATTCACGGCAAATACTTAACCATTGAAGGTCTATTTGTTCCTATATAATTGAAATTAAAAAAAAATTAATTTAAATTTCAGACTTTGATTATTTTTTTAAAACACAAATCAACAGAGCTATATTCAATATAAAATCCATTACATAATATAAATAATAATATTTTTGTTTTTGTTGGAGATATGTGCTATTTAAGCGATTTTTCAATATGAAATCTGAATGGGCGATGCTCAATTATTTCTCTTGATCATTCAATGATGCTTCAATATGGATATTAGTTTATTGTTACATATTAAAAATGGGTGGAGATTTTGTTGTCAAACAAACATAAATTGGCGTTCTCTGACAAAGGATCCTCCCAACAATACAATAACTTTCACCCTACAAAACTATTCAAAATCATACTCTGACTTCTATGTCTCTGATGCTCAAACCATTGGAGACTCAAATTGGTAGCAGAAACTCTGCCTTATTTCAATCTTGTCTTTTTTTCACTTCCTTTTGAATTTTGTTATTGCTACCAGATAATATCATGAACGACTTTAAATTATAATAAAATATTTAATGTGATATGATTGAATTTTAAAAATCTTTCATATAACATCTGAATTATAAATCTGTTAATTAATGTCACAGATTATTTGTCAGCTAACAATATTAAAAATAAATGCTACATTTGTTTTAGATATTGTATTAGAAATTTTTGAAATTTAGATATCATATTGAATGTTTTACTATATTTCAAGGAACATTACTGACATAACCTATTGGTATTTATGGATTCTGAGAATGAAAATATACAGGAAATTGCATGTTTATCCTAGAGGAGGGGGAAGCTGGAAGAATATAGCACTTTCTGTGTACTTGGAATTGGTAGAGGCTCGCAGTTTTCCACCTAAACGAAAAGTTTATGCACAATACAAGTTGAGAGTCAAAGACGGATACAATTCCAATAACAACAGGGAAAATACAGGTAATCGACCTTGTCCCGCTACATTTAGAAAATTTTTAAGCAGAACAACTTAAAATTGTCTTCGGTTTGGTTCTTAATCTCTTTAAATTCTCCCCTTTTGTAGCTTCAATCTGGTATACTGCTGAAAGTTTTAGTAGGGGTTATCGGTACTTCATGTCGCTGCTGGATCTCCAGGACAAATCAAAAGGCTATATTGTGAATGATACTTTGATAGTTGAAGCAGAAATCCTCATTGTTTCTAAAGTCAAACTTTTCTTATAGAGCTAATTTATTCAAGGGTATATATTTGCTATATGGATCGATGCATTTAGCTCTTCCTTTGTTCATTGTTTCTGAAGGAACAACACTACAAAATTCTTTATTTTTCATATATACTGCTCAAAATTATAGTGAAAATGTTTTTTTATTATAAATAAAATATTTAAAGATTGAACTCTGTTTAAAATGTATTAAAAAATAATTAATTCAATCAATTTCATTATTAATTTTAAAATAAAAAATTAATTGAATTAACATATTAAATCGTTTTACTCAACTAATCATTATTAAAATTGAATAGACCTGACTTATGAATTTAGTCAATTTCAATTGATAATAATGTTAGAATAGATTAGATTTGATAATTGATATATTTATATCATGTAAAATATTAAAATTTATATATTTATGTCATGTGTTATATAAAAATTATGTATCATAAATTATATTAATACGAAAATATAAAATATAAATTTTAAATTTTATTAATTTTATATATAATTATTATTAAAATTTTAAATCGTATCTCTTTCATATTTTATTTTCATATCATATTTATATCATATTATTATATTATATTTTTGATCGACAGATATAAAATAAACATATGCACACTCTGAATAAAACAAGAGAGGAGAGAGAAAAGACAAAACGATGTAGTTCCTATCCATCGCTCAGCCTCTTCGCATAGGCGACCAAGGCAACGTACTTTTAAGTAACTAACAATAAATCCATAAATAAATAAAATAAAATAAAATCTCGATGGAGTTCACGGTCAACGGGAACTACTGCTCCCGTCGCCGCGTGTCCATCGAAACACTAGCCGGAAAGAAAATCACCATTGGTAACCCCAAATTCCTAATACTAAATATTCTAATTTCTTTAACAAATTATTTACACTTTGTTTTTGTTTTCGAAGATGCAAGTATTTGGGGCAGGGGAAGAAACTTTGCAGGAACTGCTGCAAGTGTTCTTACCGTATATTATAATATTATTACACCAATAGAGGCAGAAGCTTAATGTGCTTATACGGAGCTAACTAACTTTATTGATAATATTATATCATATAGATCCGTAAATTTATTATTAAATATAGATTAAAAGAATTATTATTAATTTTTTTTATTTATGTGTAATTAATTATTAAATTGAATCTATTTCATTTTAAATATGAATCTTAAGATTGACTTAAATATATTTAAATAGTATATTATAATCTACGAAATCAAATTTTAAGTTAAAAAATATGGTTATACATAAGAAAAATTATAGCAACCTTATAATGTCCATCCAAAAGATGGTATCAATTTAATTTCAAGTTATCAAAGTCTACATCATATTTATATTTTACCAAAATATTTAATATTAAAAATTAATTTTAAAATTACTTCAATAATTTGGTAGTAATTTAATATAATTATCTCAGTAATATTTATAGAGATTAGTGTCCCATTCTGAAAAGATTCCGCCGTCAAATTCATTAATAATTTATTTAAAAAAATCCTCTAATAGTTTAATAAATTTATTTTGATACAGATCTTCTAATAGTTTGATAAGATTTTATTATAAAATTATTTTTAAAAAATGTATTAAATCTTTCAATAGTTTGATAAGATCAAAACAAAATATTTTATAAATTTCTTTCATAAAAAGAATTTCATTTATGATATTCTTTAATAGTTTGGTAGAATTAATAAAAATTTAAATTCACAAAAAGTCTTTCAATAATTTAGTAAGATTCATGAACTTAATTTAAAAAATTTTTTTTGGTTATTTTTTATAAACAAATTAATAAAATAAAGGCATTAAAAAATAACAATATAAATTGTTTAATTTAGGGTAATGAGTAAAATAATAATAATAATAATAATAATAATAATAATAAAGATAAAAAAATCTTTAAAAAATAATATAAACAAAATAAACAAAATGAAAACAAAAAATGAAGTGGAAAAATAAAAAGAATTACCTATGAAACGAATTGGATCTAGAGGCAGGTAAACACGCGGGTCCCGCACAAGCTAACGGGTTAAAAGTCTTCTCCAAAATGGTGCCATTTTGGCTATGCTATATAAGCCAAAAATCTTTTGTTTTCTTTCATACTTACCCTAGCCTTCTCTTCCTTTCTCTAAAAAATGCTCGTCTTTTTCTAAAACAACTTGTTGGAAGCTTCAATCGTCCAACATAAAGCCAGTTTCTGGTGTCAAAAAATTTAACCAACTGTGAAATATTTGAAACTTTTTCATAAATCTTCCAAAACCTAAATCTTGGCCACCGTAAAGCCTTTTGGCCGCCATGTACCCTGTCAAAAACTTAAAAATCTCACCAAAAATTCATTAAAAAATCCAAAAAACTTAGTTTTTTTTTTCTAGAAATTCAAATTAAAAAAACCAAGAAAAATCAAAGTTTTTCCAAATATTTCCAAATTCTCAAAAAATCAAATGACACTGGAAACTTCTAGGAAGAAAAAAATTTTGAATTTCCTCAAAAATTTCACCAGAAACTTCAACCCACCTTAAAATCTCAAAACCAAAACTATTTCCCAAGAATCAAAACCCAGAACCAAAATCACCAAATCCATAAATCCCAGAATAACCTATTTAAACAACACAAATCCGAAAAACCTAGAATGAGTTCAAAACTTTTTTTTTTCCTATTTTCCAAAAACCAAAGAAAAGAAAGACCTTAGCCTTCCACCCAGAAAATATTCACTATCGAATTAATTCACCTCAAAATTTCCAAAAACAAACAAAAAAAAAGCTAAATTCCTTGAATTTGTTGAAACCATTTTCCCTCTTATCGCTTTTTGTTTTTTGTTTTTTTTTCATTTCTCCATGTATGAGTGATTTATATTTGGCTTAACTCCCTTTAATTCTAAAAGAAATAACTCGATTGACTTTTTAAATTTGGGGTTTGATTTCTGACTATCCAAAATTATTCAATCTGTTATTGACTTCCCATGATTTGATTCTACCCAATTTGATATCTAGGATAGATTCACAAAAAAGATTTGATTTTGTTTCCAATTCAATGCAAACACGATTTCTAGACAAAATTTCGATTTTATTCTTCTTTTTTTTTCTTTCTTTTTTTTTTTTTGAACTTTTGACTTTTTTGTTTTGTTTACTTTTTTAAAAAATAAATGAAATTAAGAAATAAATAAAACAAATTAAATTAAATTAAAAAATTTTCTATTTGGCCTAAAGTTTCCCAATCAATTCCAATTCATGGTTAAAAACTAGTTTTTGTTCTGAAAGAAATTTGGATAAAATAAAGTGTCTATAGTTGTCTCTTTTTTCATAGTTTCTGTGAAATAGGAATTGCATAAAGATAAAAGACATCCATTTTGTTCGAGTCAACTTAAGGATCCTCTAAACAAAGGTATGTAGTTTTTTAAAAAATAAATCAAGAAATAGGCTCTTTGTATAGAGGCTAAACAAATTTAAATGGGAAATGAGCTCCTCTAAATAGAGGCTAAATGACTTTAAAATAGGAAATGAATTCCTCTATACAGAGGCTAAACAATTTTAAAATAGGAAATGTGCTACTCTAAACAGAGGCTAAATAAGTTTAAATAGGAAATGGGCTCCTCTAAACAGATGCTAAACAACTTTAAATAGGAAATGAGCTTTTTAAATAGAGATTAAACAATTTTAAAATAGGAAATAGGATTGAACTGCAAAGTCAAAAAAATAAATGACTTGGATTAAGCCGAGGTCGAAAATAAGTCCAAGATTGAACAACGTGTTAGAATAATAAATGATCCGAGTTGAACTGAAATTGAAGATGAGTGACCAAAATTGAACTGCATGCCAAAAAATAAATAATCTGGACCAAGATCGAAGATGAGTGACCATGATTGAATCACAGGTCAAAAAATAAAATAATCTAGACCAAGCCAAGGTAGAAAATAAGTTATTGAAAAAATAAGTGATTGAGACTAAACCACAAGTCAAAAAAATAAACAATTTGGACTAAACTAAGATCAAAGATGAGTAACCAAGATTAAACCATAAGTCAAAAAAATAAATGATCTAGATTAAGATTTAATATGAGTAATCGAGATTGAATCATAGGTTAAAAAAATAAATAATCTGGATTGAACCAAAATTGAAGATGAGTGAACGGGGCTAAACCACAGGTCGAAAAAATAAAATTCAAAATTTCAACTTGAAATCCAAAATTTCACAATTTGGAAATTCAAAGATTTGCAAGGTTTCATAATAGAAGTTGAAAAATCCCAATATTCGAAGTTTCACAAGAAATTCACAAAGATTTCAAAATTTGTAAAAAGTCAAGATTCACAAATGTTTGTAAGAATTCCAAGTTTCACAAAAAATTCACAAAGATTTGAAAACTTTTAAAAGGTCAAAATTCACAAAAGTTTACAAGAATTCCAATTTTCGCAAGTGTTTTAGGTTTGCAAGAGTTTCTATTTTGCAAGGATTTTTATCATGGTAAAGATTTGCAAAATATAATTTACAAACAACATTCAAAGATTTGCATTCAAAAAATTTAAAATTTCACATAAACAAATTCATGGATTCACATAAAAAATTTCAAGGCTTACCTTCAGAATTCAAAGATTCTTTTCAAACATTTAAGAGATTCATACCCAAAAGTTAAAAACTTTTATTTAAAAATTTTAAGGATTCGCATCCAAAATCTATATTCAAAAATTTTAGAGATTCATTTTCTAAAGTTAAGGATATTTATTTGAAAAAGATAGAGATTCACATCAAAAATTTCAAAATTCACTTTGATAAACTTTAACATTTCACAACCAAAATTTTAAAGATTCTCAGTTGAAAAATTTTGGGATTCACATTCGAAAAGCTTCTTTAAACCAAGGCTCTAGAACATTAAGAGTTTGAAAACTTTTCCTTGTCCAAAAATGAAAGTTCTTCCTCATTTGAAAAATCAAAAGTCAAATATTTTTGTCCAACAAAACAAATGTCATGCTAATAATGCAAATAGCAACAATCTAGATTCTCACTAAATGA